AACAAAAGACAGATTCATCCTGAATATAACAGAACAAGTCGACTTAACGCTGTACACCAGGACTGGACCTTCAGCTTAACTGGATTGCTGAGAAACACACACACACACACACACACACACACACACACACACACACACACACTCTCTAATTATGATCAAAGTTCAGTCTAGAGCAAGGTTGTCACAATCTGAAATCTGGGTGTGTGTTATCTGCTGTGTTAGTCATCAGCCAGTTCATGTATACTGCATGCAATATAGTGCAAGAGTTCATAAACTCCGGTTGTGTCATTTCTGTGAGAATCTGATGTAATTTGATGCATATTTACAACCTGTGAAGTCGACGTTCGCCTGTGCCATAAATTGTCAAAAATAATTCTCTGATGACTGTGATTAGCATCTACATACACTCAAACTACTGGCCAGAGCCTCCTTCACTCCAGCATGGGAAGAAACTCTTTTTAAAGAAGAAATATCACTCGCGATTGGTCACACTGGGCCTTTACTCCCCGTACATTAATATAGATAATGATAATCCTTTCATTATGATAATTATTATTTTAAGTCATGTGTATAATAATAATAATAATTAAAGACATGTGTATAGTTAGCAAGCAAAAATACTGCAATTACTGGAGACTATATATTCATGTTATATGTTATATATATATATATATATATATATAGATGTTATTTTGGGCTACACTATAATCAATGACAATAATATCAATTCAATGGGGAAAGACAAAAACATTGGCAATGAACATATTGATTAAAAGTAAAAGCTTTATTGACACAACAGAAATATCACACAACTGTGTGAAAACAACAACTGTATATTTTAAAGGGTCCAGTCACAATCTGAAACAATAGTTAGCTTCCAGCCGGACCTGGGGCGTCAGATAAACCTGAATCATATGTGTTTGGTGGTTTAGCTCACCCCGAATGTGGCCCAATGTGCAAACGTCTGTGATGAGTAGCCCTGTGCTTTGGGTTTGCATAGTCTTGCTTGAAGTTTGGCAAATAGGTTGGTGAGCTCCTGAATCTAATGACTGTTGACTCCTAGCTGAAGTCTTCATGGATGCTGCCTGAACTTGAAGCTGGAGCTTTGACCAAATAAGAAGTAGGGCTGGACTCGACTATTTGACTATATTATATCTATATTTGGTTATTTGTACGTGGGGTTGGTATTTGGTTTGTGTATATTTTGGTCATTCAAATTTCCTTTCAGATATGGTTATTAAAAAAACAAAACATATGGATGGTATGGACATTCTGCCCCAAGCTGTGCGTTCTCGTCCGGACTGGTCTCTACAGGCGAGCGCGAGCATCGGCGCGAGCACTACTCCTCCAAGACCCATTTGAGAGGAGAACTTTGGTCTAGGAGGATGTTCCACATTTATTAGTGAAGACATTTAATTTAGAGAAGTAAAGAGCTAGAATATGTAACTGTGAAGATCTGGACAAGTGTTCATAGTTATTCATTTTTATAATCCTTGTAAAAAATTTGAGGTGAATAGATTGGCACAAATTGCAGGGATAGGTGGCATCAAGGTGGTGGTATGTGGATATTTTAATGCACATAGCACGTTATGGGGTGGAGTAAGAACAGATGCAAATGGAGAGGTAATAGAAGAGTTACTAGAAGAAAATAATTTGGTTTGTTTAAATGATGGTAGAGGGACTAAATTAGATGTCCACACAGGGAACATGTCTGCACTAAATTGAACTATCGTATCAAGGAATTTAGCAGCAATATGTGAGTGGGATATAGAAGATCAGTGGGTAGTGATCACTTTCCATTAAGTTGTAAAGTATCATTACAAAGGAGTAAGGAACAGGGAGATATAGTAGGTAAGTGGATGTAAGGCAAAGTGGGAACTTTTTGAATATAAATGTGAGCGAGAAATGGATAAAATACAATTAAATGAAGATATTGAGGAGATTGATACAAAACTGACATTTACAATACTGGAAGCAGCAAATCAAACAATTGCTAAAAGTAAAGGAAGGATGAAAAGAAAGGTGTTACCCTGGTGGACCGATGAGTGTGGGAGAGCAGTGAAAGAAAGGAACAAAGCGCTTAAGTTATTAAGAAGATCACATCATTTCCAAAATGTAATACAATACAAACGAGCACAAGCAACGGTTCGTAGAATCATTCGTAAAGAAAAAAGGGAAAGATGCCAGAATTATTGTAGCAGAATTGGAAGATCAACACCTGTGGGAAATATTTGGGGGATGATTAGAAGCATGAGAGGAATTAGAAGAGTATGGCAGTATACAGTATTGAAGAGGGGGGAGGAAATAGCAACGTTGGATGGGGAGAGGGCAGAGATGATGGAAAAAGCATTAACAGAAATCCACAGCTCTGCCAACCTGACAGTAGAAGGCAGAGGAATTGAAAGGACACAATCAGCTCGTCCTGATATTCTTGGAAAAAGAGACAATACTAATAGTCCAATTGATGCCCCATTTACTTTAGAAGAGTTGAAAAGAGCAATAGAAAGAGGAGGACTTACATCGCCAGGGAAGGATGAAATTTGTTATATAATGCTGAAACATTTAGGTAGTATAACAATGATGAAATTGTTATTTTTTTATAATACGGTTTGGGAAGTGGGGAGACTACCTAGTTCTTGGAAAGAAGCTGTGATTATCTCAATCAGGAAACCAGGGAAAGACTCATCAAACCCAATAAATTATAGACCCATAGCATTAACATCCCATGTAGGTAAGATAATGGAAAGAATGATTACAGATAGATTAACATTTTATATGGAGTCCAGGGGAATGATAACACCTCATCAAAGTGGATTTCGGAAAGGTAGAGGAACTATGGACCCAATTATTTGTTTAGAAACAGAAATCAAAAAAGCCCAGGTGTATAAGGAGTCAGTGATGGCTGTGTTCTTTGATGTGGAAAAGGCATATGATATGGTTTGGAGGGAGGGGCTGTTGATTAGATTAAATATGATAGGAGTAGGTGGCAGAACATATAATTGGATTAAAGATTTTTTAATTAACAGATTTATTCAAGTCAGAATTGGGACAGCACTATCTAGAAGATACCTGGTACACCACAAGGTAGTGTCATCAGTCCGATACTGTTCTCCATCATGATAAATTATGTTTTCCTTCAAGTTCAGGGTGATTTGGACGATCCCTATTTGCTGATGATGGAGCACTGTGGAAGAGGGGGAAGAGCAAACCATATTAAAGGGAAAGTACAAGAGGCTGTCAATGTGGTAGAAAGATGGTCTTATTCATGGGGATTCAAATTTTCTGTGGGAAAAACTAAAACAATCATGTTTACTAGAAAGAGAGGAGTTGATGCTCAGATAAAGATGTACGGACAAAAGATTGAACGCGTGAAAGTCTTTAGGTTTCTTGGTGTGTGATTCGATGATAAATTAACATGAAATGAACATATTCAGAGGATAGTTATGAAATGTAAAAATATTTTAAATGTAATGAGGTGTTTAACAGGGTCCAAATGGGGAAGCAGGTCGGCAATTAAAAATATTGATATCGCTCTGATGAGATCAGTCCTTGATTATGGTTGTGTAGTATTTGGATCAGCTGCAAAAACTTCATTAAAGAAGCTGGAAGTGGTGCAATCCCAAGCTCTGAGACTGTGTTGTGGTGATTTTAAAACGAGTCCTGTGGCTTCTCTTCAGGTGGAGGTGGGTGAAACGTTGCACTGCATTTGAGACGCAAGCTCTTAACTATGAACTACTGGGCCAATCTTCAAGGACATTCTGGAGATAATTAACCAACCACAAAGGTGCTTCTGCATGTTGGGAAAGAGAAAGGGCCAAACTGTAATGTTTTGCATGGAGCAGTGGAAAATTAGCAGGAGATATGTCATTGGATCAGATATCATTCACTCCTACAGTACCGTTATCAACTGTACCACCTTGGTTATTTCCCTCAGGGTCAGTTGATAATATTTTTTTGGACAAACCCAAGCATTTAAAGATATTGATAACATTGCAGGAGTGGTGGAGGATAGACTACAGACAACATATCAATCATTTATCCCAGCATACACAGATGGATCTAAAGATCCTGATACAGGTAGAACTGGTTTTGCGCTCACCATACCAACCTTGCAATATGAAGTCAAAAGGAGAACATCAGATCATCTGTCTGTTTATACAGTTGAGACATTGGCCATTTTAACAGCACTGCAGTGGGTAGAGGAGGTTTGGATCAAAAAGGTCATTGTCTGTTCAGATTCCAGTTCAGCATTATTCTCATTACAAACATTCACATCTCATAGCAGGCAAGATTTAATAAATGAAATATACGAAACACTGTTCCAATTTAAAAATATGGGTATTTTAGTATCACCAGCACACAAGAGGGGTACAAGAAAACAAAAGAGCAGATAAATTAGCAAAACAAGCTTTAGAATGTCAGCACACGACAGACATTTTACTCAGCAAAGCAGAAGCTAAATCAATAATCAAAAGAATCATTATTAGGAATGGCGGCACAGTTGGGACTTAGGACACACAGGAAGACATCTTTATGCTGTTCAGAAAGAAGTTGGCAAAGGGAGGACATCCAGAAGAAGTGCCACAGAAGACAACACATTAACCAGACTGAGGGTTGGACACACAAGGCTGAACAAAACAATGCAACTAATAAATAAACACCCAGCAGGACTATGTGAGCACTGTCAAATACCAGAATCTGTAGATCATATCATTTGTCATTGCCAGAAATTCACACTCGAGCGAGAAAGGAAGCTGGGAGTTGAGGAACTAAACCTAAAAGATCCATTAACCTTGGGGACAGGAAATGTACTACAGTACGTGAAAGAAACGAGATTGAGTAAATTTGAGTAATTTAGGTCGCCGAATTGATAGAACTCCTTTTTTTGTTTTGCTTTGTTTTGCTTTGTATGGGGATAGGTTACTCTGGTCCACACTCCAATACAGTAGGTGGCGGTACCTTTCACTGGATGCCATCCGCCATAAAACCTAAAAGAAGAAGAAGAAGAAGAAGAAGGGAGGAAATGAAAAAGAAAAGAAAAGAAAAAAGACAGAAGATCATTTTTGCTGCTGGTGCGTGGAAGAAGGTTCACTTTCACGTGGAGTTAAACACTCACAACACGTTGATACTCATTTTACTAAACACACGGACAATGTCTCGATTGAAAAGAGCCGGTCAGGGGGATTCTCTGGCGGGCTTCAGGACGGAGAAGACGGAGCCAACAATCCCTTCCGGTCTGCTGAAGGCAGCCAGGAAGAGCGGCCAGCTCGACCTGTCCGGCCGAGGGCTAACAGAAGGTAACCGCACTGGGACTTGTTAGCTAACTGTAAATCCGTGAGGGTTTAGTTCTGTCCCACTGTCAAATCATCGAGTGTTTAAGGGCTCTCTGGCAGACATTTTGAGCCCTTTATGAACACTTTCCGTAAGTCAGCATTAGATGCAGACTTTGCCCAAGGAAAGTACCCACAATTCTTTGCAATGTGACGTTAAACACGGGGTAACCAGTGGACGCATTGGCCAAATCCCAATGTCCCCCCCCTAAACCCTCAAGGACTTACTGACGTCACCTGGTGAGTGGGTGAGTGTGAGAGACTGTGAGGGTAAAATGCAATATTTTGCAGTAAAAGTGCTGTCCTATTTGTATTTACACCTTTTCAAGCCTCTCACTCCACCATTCACCAGGTGACCTCAGTAAGTCCCTGAGGGTTCAAGGTTTGAGGCTTTAGGGGGGACACTGGGACTGGGCCCGAAAGTACGAAGAGGTCAAACGGTAGCAAACTTTAAAAAAGTTATTTTTTTCAAATCTAGCAGAACTATGCTTACAGACTAACTGCACACTTGTTTAAGCTATACGTTTAATGGTACAACTGTACTGTGGTAAACAAATCAATACTGGTGTTTCTATTGACATCACACTCGACCACATATTCAGAAAACGTGCATCCCTTCTCTGTATCTGCATGATCGGCACCCTGAATAGAATCATCACATGAGGCTTCTGCTTTTACTTGCATTATTGTGCAGCCTAGCCCCCGTTACTACTCTGTCACTAATTGGACTCACTGAAGAAATATGATCTCATTTTTGGAAAAACAAAAAGCAGACAGAAGGGTCAACAACACGTGTTTGATGGATATATCCAGGATGAAAACGGGTTAAAAAGATAAAGATAGAAGCTAAAACACCACATCACCAGACAATGAAATTGTGGAACAACACAGTCCCTGCAAAACCAGGTATGTCTTTATTCACTGTTACAACCATTATTATGTGTAGATACAATACACCTTTAGTAGCTAGTATAGCATAGAAGTGCTAACGCTACTTATCCATCCATTATCCAAACCGCTTATCCTGTTCAGGGTCACGGGGCACTGATCCCAGCTGACATTGGGCGAAGGCAGGTTACAGGTTACACCCTGGACAGGTCGCCAGTTCATTGCAGGGCACATATAGAAATAGACAAACATTCACACTCACACCTAGGGCAATTTCGAGTCTCCAAATAACCTAAGCTGCATGTCTGTGGGAGGAAACCGGAGAACCCGGAGGGAACCCACGCTGCAACGGGGAGAACATGCAAACTCCACACAGAAGGACCACCCGGGGATCGAACCCAGGTCCCTCTTGCTGTGAGGTGACAGTGCTAGCCACTACACCACCGTGCAGCCCATGTTATGCTAATGTTCCACAAACCTTTTTAGAAACGTATGTGTCCATCCAACCTCTCCGGGTAACAAGTACCACTATTACACACTATAACCATGAGCAGCTTCCACATAACCTGAGCCTGAACATGAAGAACATCTGAAACCACTGATGGGAGTCTATGGAGCAGAGCTGGATAGTTGCCAGACACTGGTCAGATCTGGCTGATGCTACGCTATGATTGGCCAGTGTGCATTCGATAGGCGGGACTTAGCAAAGAGTCTATTGTTTCCCTTTAACCAGCCAAAAGAGTGTGTGTGTGTGTGTTTATGTTATCATATCAACAAAGTGAATGCCTCAGTCCCTCAGGATGTGTATCATCTGAACATTGACACACCAGAGGAGGCCCACCAGAATGTTTCCTTCGGAGTGTCAGATCGCTGGTGGGAACAGACTGACCTCACCAAACTACTCCTCTCATCCAATCGTCTCACACAACTGTCTGATGACATCAGACTACTTCCAGCACTCACTACTCTGGATGTAAGTAACATCACCTCAATCTGACTCAGTAACTCCACCAAGTTATACACATTGTCACGGTTTTCCTCTTCCAGTTCCCGTTTGCTAGTTGTTATGCCTGCTTCTGCATACGCGGAGTAAGAGCTGCTTCAACAGTCTCTGTCAAGTTACCACAGCTTCTTTCGACCAGAGTTCTCTAACTAAATGAGAACTCAACTGAAAAGGAAAACTAATCTGAAACAGTGTAAAAATGAACCCCATTCTAATAACAATTGACCCAGAGCTCCTGTGATGTGGTCCGAGCCTAACTCATTAACTTTCTGAATATTTAATCTACTATGTACTGAGACACTAACACAATACAAAGCATCTACTTTATTATTTGTAGGTACTGATGAAAGAATTTTTAACTGAGACATCCGTCACATTTATGATTTATTCTTATTCTAGCTGTTAAACTACAATGTTAATTTTGCTCTGGCAGCTCCATGACAACCAGCTGAGCACTTTACCCAGTGCTTTGGGAGAACTGCAGGAGCTTCAGCAACTGCGACTCAGGTACACACAGACACACACACAGTGCAGACCCGACAAAGCTATTGAATTGAATATTACGTCATGATATTAAGTTTTTATTGTAAAAACTTAATATGTTAAGAACTGTGAGGAGTTGCTCCTTCAAGGTGTTGTGCTGGTGCCACTGAAGAGGAACTGATAATGTGCTGACAGACATGCGTACCACATACCACATAACATAACACTAGTGTGTCACTTTGTGAATCCCTTTTCAGTACTTAAATCAGGAACACCAATAGAAAAGAGCCAAAACACTGAAATGAACACTTGGTATCTGCGTGTAAATGTTGCATCACAGAGATGAGAAATATTTACGAAAACTGGAGAATGACAAATGATGCTGCTGGAAAGTTTCTGAACCTTTTTAGGATGTTCTGTATTTCTGCTGTCATGACCTGGCTCCTAGGCCATGACAAATACGGAAATGGACACAATGGATGATGGTAAATTAAAGGTTTATTGAATGTCATTCAAATCAATTGCACATCATGTGACCACAGGTGTTGGAGGAGTGTCAGTTCAAACTCGGCTACCAGCCAAGCCGTTGCCCAAAATAAAATGTACACCTTCAATAGGCTACTTCACCCTTAACCAGCTCACAGTTAAGATCCATCTAGTGCAAGGAAACAAGGAGAATCTCCAATCCCATCACCAGCTTCAGTCTCCTCATACAAACGCCAAACAGTCAACAATGTAGGTATCATAGGCACCTGTATCCCTCAAGATTTGTATCAGGACTTTTACCTAACTTCCCACAAGTGACACAAACTCATCTCGAATGAAAGAAGCATAGGCTACCAAAACATCCCGTTCACAAGAATGAGATATAAGCACCTCAGCAACACAGAAGTCTTTAACAGGAGCAGCAAATGCAGCAGGCCTAACATTATTTCTCACACCCTTTATTTGAGCCCTTAGCACAGGACAATCTGATTCCAATGTCCTTCCTCGTTACAGATATTACTATTGTCTAAGTTGACACCTGTGTAAAGTCAGATTGAAAATTCCCACTTTCTTTAAAGCCTGTCACACGAAACAGAATCAGAACCACTTCCCAGCCCATAAAAAACATTGGGAGCCACAGAGCACTCTCTGAAACTGATCTTATGGAGCAACACATACTCATCAGCTGACAGGTCAGCATTAGCAGAAGTAGTGATTTGTCATTTGATATATGTCGCGATACGATCAGGAAGACAATTTTGAAACTGCACCAAAATCAGCAAATCACACAGATCTTCAAAAGTAGTAATGTCAAAAACAAAATGTAATTATTTTTCACCAGCACCACCCTTAAATTACCTCATGATCCTGGAGATTCACATACTTTATCCAACAAAGACATTTAATGTTGGATCTGTCTAACAGTATAATCAGGGGCTCCCTCTGAACCATCATGGACCACCTTACCAAACTGTTTGCTGCTGTATCTATCTCAAATGCACACAACCAATTCAATTAAATGTCTGGCCTGTGGTGGGACTAACTACATAATAAACTGAAATCTAATGTGTGTTTGTTCTCCTGTGTGGCCAGTCATAACCAGCTGACTTCACTGCCAGTTGAAGTGTGTACTCTGAAGAACCTCTGTAGCATCACCCTCCAGCAGAACCAGCTGGAGAGCCTGCCAGACGAACTGGGACACCTGGAGAGCCTGACACAGCTGGTAATTACCACATTATGTATGTATGTAGGTAGGTAGTGTATTACACTCCCACCGGACTGTTTCTGCTGGGTTGAGTGATTGGCTGACGGAGGTGTTATGTTTGGTTGAAGGACCTGTCTCACAACCATCTGAAGGGCCTGCCCTCCAGCCTGGGCTGTCTCATCCGGCTGCAGAAACTGAACCTGTGTCACAACAACCTCAGCTGTCTGCCTGCCACCCTGGCCCAGCTCACAAGTAAGACCAGCTCTTCTGCTTCTTTACGTGGCTGCCGTTCAAGCCCGGATAGAACTATAATGTAAGGTGTCTGTTGGTCTAAATATAAATGTTCTTCACATATCTCGAGAACCGTTCATGTTATCTATTTCACACTTGGTGGTTGTATTGCTGGGAACTCCATTAAGGGATTTAAAAAAAAATGTGGTGCAATTTAGACAATCAATAATAGTAAACCTTTTGTAAATAAATAAACAGCCTCTCTGTAGCAGTTGGGGCGGAGCTTCATGGCTCTGTAGTCCAGTATGTGGCTGCAGTGGGCGGACTGCAGTTCACTTTGGATGCTGGATAGAGCCTGCTAACGCTATGTGGATGCTGGATAGAGCCTGCTAACGCTATGTGGATGCTGGATAGAGCCTGCTAACGCTACGTGGATGCTGGATAGAGCCTGCTAACGCTATGTGGATGCTGGATAGAGCCTGCTAACGCTATGTGGATGCTGGATAGAGCCAGCTAACGCTATGTGGATGCTGGATAGAGCCTGCTAACGCTATGTGGATGCTGCTGGATAGAGCCTGCTAACGCTATGTGGATGCTGCTGGATAGAGCCTGCTAACGCTACGTGGATGCTGCTGGATAGAGCCTGCTAACGCTACGTGGATGCTGCTGGATAGAGCCTGCTAACGCTACATTGATTGTGGGTGAAGCCTGCTAGCGCTACATTGATTGTGGGTGAAGCCTGCTAAAGCTACATTGGTTGTGGATGAAGCCTGCTAGCGCTACATTGATTCTGGGTGAAGCCTGCTAACGCTACAAGGATGCTGGATAACGTTACAACCCAACTTTTCTTCACTTCCCTGGAGTCAACGAGGAGATAGCCTTCCAAAACAGCACCGCTCTCCCACTGCCACTTAAGTTGTCTAAGCTTTAGCCACACTTTACCCATGTCAAATTACCTCCAGTCATTGAATATGTGCCATACTTTGTAACTGCGGTGGTTATGTCAAAGCAAGGGAGTCATGCGCCTTTATGGAAATTAATTCCTCCAGTGTATTTTACTAATGTTTCTGATAATGGATGTGGTTTCCAGGGCCAGATTTAGTAATTTGATGGCCCCAGGCAAACATCATCTTCCTTTACTTTTCACCCTTTCTCTGAAGTTGTACTCAAACCTTTCTTTCCGAAGTAAAACTATTTACTATTGGTAGTAAAATTATTCATACCACACAGTAAAAATGCTGCTGTCAAATGTGACAGAGACACAAAATCAGCACAAAATTTACTTAACGTTTGATTTAGCAAATGCTCAGAGAGTTGTTGTACAAGATGTTTATCAATTTGTAAATTGTGCCGTCAAAAACTGACTGTAGCGGCTAACACTTTGGATATGTTCCACCATCTTTGAGTTGTCACCTGTCTAAGTCAAGATTTAAAAAAAAAACAGGAGGAGCTGATTAACTAAGCGTCACGTAGTTCACAATGTGTTACTGATACTTTGGGAATCTTGGGGGGGGGGGGGCTGTCCTTCCCTGTGTAGCCTACGGGCTGTAAAACCTATTCCCATATTCCCATTATAAATAATTTTTAAATATGCAAACTATAAACACTAACTGGAAATGGTTGATGATGATAATAAATGCTGTAGTTCCTTATCTAAATTAGAAATATTCTGATTAATGATCGTGAAACCGTGATATTTCCTCTGACAATAAACCTAATATCAAAATCTCACATGCTGAAATCCTTATGTTCTAAACAGTTTTGAACGGGCATTGCAAAATGTCTTGAGTTTCATTGACGGTAGTTAAACAGCAATTGCAAAAAGGAAAAGGAGTGAAATTAGTGCTATTAAATGTGTGTATGTATATATACACATAACATTTGAGTTCTGACTTGATCTCACAGATGTTAAGCTGTTGGACTGCAGCAATAACCAGCTGACTGACATTCCTGCCAGATTATCAGATATGCTTGCTCTGGAGCAGTTCTACCTCAGACACAACAAGCTCTGCCTCCTCCCAAAGGTTCTTGCACCAGCACTCAAGGTAACCATAGCAACATGAGTTTCCCCAGGTGTAAAGCTCATTTGTGGTATAACAGCAAGTGTGTGTGTGTGTGTGTGTGTGTGTGTGTGTGTGTGTGTGTGTGTGTGTGTGTGTGTGGGTGTGTGTGTGTGTGTGTGTGTGTGTGTGTGTGTGTGTGTGTAGGAGTTGTATGTGGGGAACAACCACATTGAGCAGTTGGAGACGGAGCAGCTGGCCTGCCTGACATCCATCTCTCTTCTAGAACTCCGAGACAACAAGATCAAAATCCTCCCTGAACAGATCACTTCACTGAACACGCTCACACGCCTCGACCTCACCAACAATGACATCACCACGTAGGTCACTGGCATCATGACAACGGTTACTGTTTGTGTCCATGAGCCAAACTGACATGTTTGAAATATTTAGTCAGTACCAAATGTGACCACTAGCTCTGCCATTGAAACACATTATTGTTTACATTTACTCCGACACTATTTCAATTGTTATGCGATATAATCCTAAATAATTTACGTGTGATGGTGTAAGCCAACACTGTGGAGTTATCTAGATCAAAGGTTAGCAGCCTAGCCTTCTATATTTAGCAGTAGACACTGTCGGTACCCTATCATCACCTGGGTTTCAGGTATTTCATGTGAAAAGCATCTCTCTCTGTCAAGTCTTCCAGCATCTCTCAGCCTGCTGCCCAATCTGAAGGTGTTACTGTTGGAGGGAAACCCTCTGAGAGGAATCAGGAGAGACCTGCTCACTGTAAGTAACACACCGAGACAGACACAGAGAATATAATGCAGAGCTAGTTCTGAATCCTAGTATTGGTGAACTAGAATTATGCAACAACATGCATAACAGCCCTTACATGTAAAATCACTGTAAACCGCTTTTATAAAATGTTTACTACATATTAACACATAGATAATCATTCTAATGCGAAGCATACTGTATGTTCTTCAGCAACACAAAACAGAACGGTTGCCAAGCAACACAGACACAAAGCATGCTTAAAGATTGGGGTGGTTAATAGCATTTATCTGGACATCACCAATAATTGTGCAGCATCTGCTCTCGCTGTAGTTTGGGTACCGGTAGGATTGAAGGGACGATTCACATTAATGTCCCGTCACTGACACCATATCTATGCATCTCGGCCAGCCTCTAGTTTTTCTACTGTGGTGCTTCTAGAGCACTGGTTGGTGTAGATGAGAGGTAGCCAACACAGTGCCCGCGGGCACCTGGTCACCCGCAGGGACCACGTGAGTCGCCCGCAAGGCATGTTCTAAAAATAGCACTAGTCACCATGGAGCTCCGTCTAAAATCCATCTAAATTCTTCTTGAATCAAAAACGCTTACATTAATGTAGATTTTAAAAGGACAAGGCCGCCGCACCATACTAGATTTTCAGGTTCCGAATGGCGGGCTCTTCCCGTTGGCGCCGGACGTGCCGCCCCCGCCGCGAGCGCACCCAATCGTCGGGTCCGTCAGTCCTCGGAACAGGCGACAACTCGTGGGTGGCGGGGGTAGAGGCGAGGCAACGTAGTCCGACCGAAATGGCCCAGACTAGAGGTTTGAACGCGGGTGCCCGAAGAAGCTCGCGGGCCTCGGAGGGTGTGATTTCTCTTCTCCCCCCCCTCGACTATAGACGGGACTTTTTACTAGTTTCTTTGTGGAGAAAAAGGTTCCATTAGAAAAGCTGTGATCACAGACGGGGGCTCCTGCCATGACGGGCCAGCATGCAGGCTTCATTGAGCAATGCAAAGGTGACCCAGACTTCCCAAAATGTGGTGATGAGTAATAATGATTCATGATTCGGCTCCGGCCCCACTAGTCGCATGTCCTTGAGCAAGACAGTTGCTCAACAATTGCTCCCGTAGCTGTGCCTACGGTGTGATAGAATCTGAATTGTAAGTCGCTTTGGATAAAAGCGTCAGCTAAATGACTGTAATGTAATGTAAGTTGTTATAAATGAGGGTTAACCCGAACACTGAGATACGGACTGTGGTTCAGGGGGGGGGGGGGGGGGGAAACGGTTTGCTATTAAAGTTTATGCAAAAAAAAGAATGGACCAAAAATCATAATTGTATTAGGGGTATACCGAATAGCGAGAAGCTTCATTCATAACCTTGATATTTGAATTCAAAATTTGAATGCTGTGCAGATTCTTTTTTGCATGTCTGTTGTTCAGTACTACTGCATGGTTGAGATAAAGATCAGGTTACACTAATATTGACGAGCAGTTTGCTTTGGGGGTCTGAGATCTTTCTCATTTGCTAAGTGATAATAGTGTCAAAACATATGATGACAGACATTCAAAGCTTTATTCAAAAACCTTAATAGAATTTATGAGTTTTAAATATAGTTGTCTATTAAAGCCTTTTTAATGAATGCGGTTTTAAGATGACATGCATTCATTTAAAAGGTGTGTGTTTACATTAAGAGAGCCGGCCGGGCGTTATGGTCCGAGGCCGTTCTAAATTTCAGGTGAATCCCTGATTTTTGCATTAAACGTGCGTACGCTTAGTTTAAGCATAGATTTGTGCAGACGCACTGTTTATGAATGAAGCCAATATTATCTCCTATCAGCAGCTACTATTCTCGTTTTCCCTAAGCTGCTGTCACTTGCCAGCAATATTCTGTTACAGTGTAGCTTCTGGCAACATAAATGGATAAAGGTGAGCATAATTGACTACAAATCAAAACATGCAAGCTAGCTAGCGTCACATTGTTAACTTACACAGCTGGCTATTTTTTCTCACTTGCTGGCTACTTCCTATTTGTTTAAATAAACCCTAGCCCTATTTTTAGGCCTCTGCTCGAAAATTCCATACCCATACTAAAAAGACTGTAAATCTGTAACTACAAGGTCTATTTTAATAATTTTGTGTCTGTGAACCATGCATCCATTCTCGTCTGCCTGTGTGTATGTGGAGGCTATAACAGCCTATGATTGGTCAATTCGAGACTATGACACCTTGTTCGACGCGTCAGAGTCTCAGGAATGCAGGGGTGGTAACGTGGGCTTGATTGACAGAATCGTTGGCTGGAAAAAAACAGAAATGCTGAATGCATCGAAAGTGAATTCCCTTCCCCCCACGGTCTCCCAAGCTTGTCTGACCCCCCTTTCACCAGGAAACAGGTGAAAAAACACAGGAAATACGTAGCAACAGTGTTTTTAGCCGGCAAAACGGAATATGAATCATTTTTCTTCATGAATCATCTCAAAGTAAGGATCAGTTATGGTTTCTTCTGCGGTGGAGCGGCTTGGTTTTGTGGTGCTTGTTGACTGTATATTTGTAATGGTTTCACGGAGAGAAATTCTGAAGATATCTCTGGATTCTGTGTTGAATGCTCGTGCTTTTTGCTATCTCGGTTGTCCGTGTTAGCGGTTAGCTTTTTGTTCGCAGCTTTGTACAGAGTGCATGGCTTGCCGAGTCATGGCGAAAAATACGTGATATTGTGGTACGTCTTCTAGATATTATATTAGTTTGTGTATAATTGTGTTTGCAATGGCTTACATGATGTTTTTGCCCAGAATTTTCTTTGTTAAGTTGGTATATAATATGTGTGTCGCATTCATTATATTTGTTTCTGAAAAGTGCATTCTACGACACGCTCTTCGATAAACGGTCTCGCTCGAACCCCAAATAGTCCTCGCTCGGGCTTAAACGGCATGTACTACAGGCCTGCATCACAGCGTTCGATAATTGTTTTTTCTGACTACTCTTTTTCACCATGCATGTTTACATCCCTGTACTTCACTACAAGTGTCTAAATGATTTAGACACTTGTAGTAATTTAGACTAAATCATATCAAGATTTTATTGTTAAATTGAATAAAAACAAATCTTGACAAATTGATCTAAATGGAGTACAACTATAAAGCACAATAGTTGCAGTACTCAAATAGCGGGGGAAATCAGCTTGTTCCAAAGCTAAGAAAGTAGCAGTGTCTATAAACCAGACCACGCCTGTGTCACCAGAAAGGTGCTCAATTATAAGAAAAGTTTCCATCTGACAGCTTTAAAATGCACATCAATGCAGTCACACATTGTTCCCTGCACACATCTTGAGATGATAATAGTAGTAGAGCTTTTGCAGGTGATGCGTAACAGATGTTCTGTGTGTATTTATTTGATGGTAATGTTCAGAAGAACAAACATTCATGCTAATATTAATATTCTTCTGTTGTCGTCCTCACAGAAAGGGACCAATGAGCTTCTGAAATATTTAAGAGGAAGAATTAAAGGTACAGTTGACTTTTTGTGCTGACCTGAAACAGTTTTCACCACTGTATGTGTTCATGAGACATGACGGACACAAAGTTTTCCTTATTCTACTTGTTTCAGCAAAAGTAACAAACCCATCAGTGTTTAGCTCTCTCGCAGAGAATTATCGGATCAGCAGGTTGTCATCATGCTTAAGGTACTAGCTAGATTTTTCTGAGCTTTTAACCGCATTTCAAGGTTGCTTTGTGGAAGGAAGCGGTTGGCTCTCAGGGCTGACGGGTACGGGGAGTGGAGAGAGCTACCACCCAGACTTCTGACCAGGACAAAGACTGTTTGTCCTTGTCCTCCCAGTGAATTCTGACTGTTTGTCAGAATTAACTGGGAGTGGGTCTGTACTACAAACCACTCAACACCTCCCTGAGAGGAAGACTGGACACCACAGACGACAGCTGTAGGGGGACCATCGGGTACAGGGCTGTCATGGCTTCAGTCAGAATGACATACACAGTAATTACGAAAGAAACGGCTGTAAAGCAATGAATATGTTATATTACAACAAGGCAGAAGCCTAAGAGCCTGTTGGCTGTGTGCACTTAGTTAGCAGCTTTCACTGAAACAGGATGCCATCTTAAAATAGGAGCAAGGGACAAGAGACTGAGCACACCAGTTGTCTGTGAACTCAAGAACAAAAATGCTCATCCACTGTGAAAAGGTCAAAGTTCACGGACCAGGAGTCTGACAGCAGAGACCATCTCTGAACAGATACAGGTTACCATCTCCTCCATGTGACTCAAGTTCTACACTGAAACTGAGATGTAATTAAAAGTTCAGAAAAAGCTCGTAAGTGGACCTGATTATACTGTGTGACATGTGAATTCAACCACTGACGCAAGTAGTGAGGGCTGTTCACATCTTTGTTCTCATCTCAGCTCACCTGATCCTCCACATTCAGTGTGTGATGTGCTCCATGCTGGCTGCCACCAAATCCACCTGACCACAAATTAGATTTCTTCAATTCATCAAATATTGCAGATTAATTATTGGGGTTATGAATACAAAAGATAGTTCAGTAAAACAGAGTTGTGTGTGTGTTGCAGAGGATCCTGAGAGAGCAGATGAAGGACAGACAGCTATGACCTTACCCAGCCAGGCCAGGGTCAATGTACACAACATTAACACTCTCAAGTCATTGGTGTACAGGTTAGTGATCCACTCATGTGTTAACCTTTTTCATCAGAGCTTGGCGAGATACTTGTTAGTTATGTACTTTGTTTAATATGATGGTGGTATCTGTGCTTGTTGTGTCACTGCTATGTTAACACTTGCTTCACATACAGTTTTGGAGCGGCTGGTTGTTCCAGGTTTCTGTGTGCATGGTGTGACCTTGTTTACTGCTACATACATCCTTCCACACGGTGTGCTGAGAGGGTTATCAGTTCTAATCAGAGCAGTCAGGTTGGGGGCAACGGCCAGGTTGCACAAACTTATATGAAGCGGAGAGAACGAAGGTGAATGATAAAGTTATGATGTAAATAAATCCCAATATGTCCGATATGAACAGCTAATATTAGCTTGTCGCACATCTATTGGCATCCACATATATGTGACATAGATGCTAACAATGTTAGGATAGGCTGACAATGTTACGGATAGGCTGACATATACGTTAGCCTAACATATAGCATTTCTTCTCACGGATAGGCTGACATATAATATGTTTGAGGTCATTTAGAAACAGTGTCTCCGTTACAGAGTTTGTCCACTTTCTTTTATGTTATTTATAGTGCTGGGCAAGTTAACGCGTTATCACGTTAACACATTAATTAATTAACGCCGACAATTACTTTATCGTGCGTTAACGCAGTTGTTTTTTTATTATTAAGCGGACATTTTTAACACAGGAACCGGGCAGCGAGCGGTGAACAGCTGTGTTTGTGTGGCGTCACTTCCTTCTGCTGCCGCTCTCCCCCCACCCACCGGGTGACACGCCCGGTCCGGAACCATCGGTCCCTCCTGTCTCTCTCACGCACGCACGCACAGGATCATGACAATATCAAAATACATAAATATACATATAAGCACGTGAGAACAAACTGCTCTTAATTGCAATTCTTTATTAGCATAACTTCCACATTCACGTTACTTCCACGGTACAGACTACAGGTTCCATGCTACACCTACATTCCCCTGGGTCCTAAGTCCCTCCATGTACAGCTTCTTATCACCCTCTATGTACCAACGTACATTTATATCAAATACCACACATATTACACGTAAATCAGCGTTGTATATGTGTCTGACTTTTGTACTTTTTAGTACTTTTAAAATAAAAGTGCGCAATACACTACTTTTTAATTAATTGTTGAATTTTGCGTATAACAATGTGATTAATCGCAGAAAAATCATGCAATTAATCGCGATTTAAAAATTGTAATCGTTGCCCAGCACTAGTTAGTTAGTTATTTATTTATTTAATTTTCAATAAAGTTTTATCTTGCTTATGTGTTTATGGAAAAGGCAGAGGTGTTCTAATATCATGTCAGACTTCAGTGTTCAGAAGGCCTTCCTGCTTCTACTCTGACCTACTCTTTGTTCTGTAGTTGTGTGGACACTTTTCCTGTGCAATGACAAATTACTAGCAACATTTCAGGTGGGAAGAAAAGTTTAGGTTTAGATCATCTGCATGTTGGTTAGTTTCAAACCTGTCTGACAGTGTTGTGTGTTGTTGTGACTACAGTGTTGTCATGAATGATCAAAATGAAAATAATGGATATATAAGCAATAATACTGAATGCTAATCCTTTTCAGAGTAACTTTGTGTGTGTTTAGTGAGAAGCAGGCAGCTGATATTCCAGATGAGCTGTTTGATGCTGCAGCAGATCAAAGTATTACCACTGTTAACTTCAGCAAGAACCAGCTGACCTCCATACCTCCCAGGTACACACACAATGCAGGTGGTGCTGACATCGTCGCTGTGTGTCACAGACCTCAAAGATTGTACTGCACAGAGATGACTGACCTGATGTGTGTGCCGTGTGTGCAGACTGGTGGATCTCTTGCCCTCACTGTCAGATATCAATCTGGGTTTCAACAGACTGACCTGTTGTTCTCCTGACATCTCCAAGTTCCTGCAGCTGATGCACATCGACCTCAGGTACAGTCTAGAATGCTTGTTGGCATAATATAAAAGCTCTGCATCCACTGTATTTACATGGATAATTATTGTCCAAGGTGACACAAAATGTCTTGTTTTTCCAACTGTCAGCAACCCAAAGATATTAAGTAGATGAAGCTGCTAATACTGTCCTCTATCTGTAGTGGTTCTGTCCTGTTTACTAAACATTTACATATAGGATAATTCAATTAAAAAGCCAATACTTTAACAGTTTTAGAGATCCCATATGTGAAAACAGGATTTTGATATAGAACCATTAGTGCCTGGGTTAATATATGTCTTGCCTCTTCTTATTTCAGGAATAACCAGCTGAGGGATTTACCATCTGAAATGAAGAACTTAACTAAACTATGCTCCATTATCCTCAATTACAACAGGTAACTTATTGATTCAGGACCAGTCCGACTCCACACCCGTTTAGTGGAACTGATGTTCATCACAAAACACACGTTGGCTGCTGCCGTTTCATTTATCTCTGTCACAGGAGCATCAATTAGGTGTGTGTGTGTGGGTGTGAGAGAGACAAGGATAAATAATGTTTATTACAGCTCTGTGTACTTCTTTGTGCTCACAATTGTACCAAACAAATCAATGATTGTTACCATACAGATAGACTAGAGATGCACTGATACCACTTTCTTTTATAATACTAGCAAACTTGGTAGTACCTATATGAGTACTTAATAATATCATTACAGTTCTAACAATGAATTTGAAAACATGTTTTATTTTCATCAGATGCTCCTCACTTTCTGACTGTAAGGAAATATACAACTGGTCTGCTGAAATTTGAGTCGTATACTCGTAGTCTATTTTAATAGTGGACATTCCCTACCATGCTGTGTATTGACTGCTGCCTACTACAGAAATCAAACAGGAGTATCACTCACCTCAAAGAAGTCATCCGTAGACTATGAGATCACCTAAAACAGTTTGACACTGCCACTGTGCAAGATAGAGGTGATGAGCTTGGCTGTTTCCAACACTATCCTGTGGGATACCTTGTGCGTAACATCCTCTTGCTCGACTCCAAACTTCCAGACCACTTGGACCGAAACGGTCTCCGGGTGATCTAACATCTGCACTTTACCCTCGCGGCCTATTGCTGCTAGCTTGTCCCAACTAAGTCCACCTAGTTACATCCAGCCTCTCCCCGCCCTCCAGGGTTCATCCACTCGGGCAAATCAGGCGTAGTATTGAGGTGCATCTCAGGACTGTGGTTCCCTTGGAGCTAAGAGTAGATCGAGACGGAGACGCCCTTGACATGTCTCTGTCTCCCTCCTGTCTCATTGTAGGCTCATCAATGGTCCGGCACGTTAACTGTCCTAACAGAAACCTTTTGCTGTCCTGGGGCTCAGGTCCACATGAACTCAGTCCTCCACAAACTGCTGCGGGATAATCCCTCTGCGTCTTCAGTGGTCACGCATGTTGGATCAAATTATATTAAACTCTCAAGAATCCAAAAGGTTGAAGGACGATTTTAAAATCATCCTTCAACCTTTGTGCAGGAGCACTTGTCATTTCCTCCTAATAATAACAACAAAGGTGCCATTATCAAAATGCAGTATGGCATCATACTAACATAACAAACATAAAGAAATTATAAGAACAAGATCAAGAGAACCAAGTAGCAGAATTATAATCTGCCTAATGCCCATGTCGATGTGTGAAGAAAGTAAAATAAAATTTAAACCAGTGTTTTAGATTTGATAATCAAAAAAACATTTACCTCCCTTACCTGCCCCTTACCTCCTATGTTGCTGCACATTCACCCCCCAGCATTATTTGAAGCCAAGTCGTCAATGATGGCCTCATAGGAAAGGTCTGTTGATCAGAGAGAATCTGTTCAGTCATGCCATCAGTGTCATCTTAGATGGCAGGTTCAGGATCTCCTCTATCTTTTAAAGTCCACAGATGTCAGACCCTCTGTTCCTCCTCAGCCTCTTCTGAATCTCTGCACAGTGTCTTCTCAGTGTCAGTTGACATTCCTTTCATGCCATTTCATTTCAGAAGAATACCAAATATGTTATTGACATTTTGCACTTTTTCAAATCTCTCCTTCAGAGAGTGTAGAGCTACATCCACAACCACATTAGAAATGTGACCTCCAGGTTTGGCAGCGTGTCAATGAATGCTCATCTGTAGCCTCATAGGAGAACTGCGTCTTTTGTGCATTCAGATCATGACATAGATCTTGTGCAGTTGTTTGTGATGCAGCAAAACCCGAGACCCTGTAATATGTGAGTGTTACTTTGTCCAGACTGAAGAAGTTTATTGACCTGGTTGACAATGGTCAGGATGTCAGGATCTGTCGAGCCTCGGCAAAAGCTGATTTACACTTTCTGGTATCAGACTGCATGCACTGTCTGTAGCCTGCCCTCCCACCTTTTGTCACTCCATGATTTAACAGTGAGTTTGAAATGGCTCTTGAGAATTGCCCATCTTTGAGTGGCTGCTGAAAAGAAGTTAAACATTTTTTATAGATGCCCAAAGAATCCAACAGCATCACTCGACGCTTCGGGTCAGGGTCTGCTAACCCACCGTTGCTCTCGTGTTCCTTATTTAATCGTTTCCAAAATTCACATGTTTTTATCTGACGAAATATTTCCCTTTACATAACTTATTCAAAATAAATGGACAAATCAAGCCATTATAATTCATTGACTGATTGCTATGAGTTTTTAGCCTTGTTAAGCCTTGTTAAGCTTGTCCTCATCACACACACACAACTGAATTCACTTTTCCCCTTTTTGTTTAAGGGGATCGTATGGGGATTGGAATAGGCATATCTAGCTGGTGAACAACACATGCCAAAGACTTATTAGGCTAGCTAATGTTACCCTGACCTCATGCATGCTAATAGCCGCAAAGTGAGCTTAAGCTTTGCCGTCTCCCAGCAGCAGCTAAATTGCTTCTGAACAGAATTGGCTATTATTAACCTGTGAATTGCTCAAGAATATCTCCATGACACATACTTGAATCCTAACTTCTGCTCTTGGTCTTTGTTTTCCTTCTTTTTCTTTTGGCAGCGCTTAAGGAATATAGAGGCACAATCATGTCGAACTGTAGTAGAGGTATTATAATGATTGACAGTTGCCACAGATGTTCAGTGAATACATATGTGCTCTCATTGACACATATTTAAGAGAGACCAGAGAGCAGCAGGGTTCAGGAGCTGCTTTTTATGTTTATCTGCTGTTTCTTACTGCCAATGGACTTTGGATAAAGTGGCTGCTACAATTTGGTTGTGCAAGCTGTTAAATTGACTCTTGGGATTATTGTGTGCAGTGTGGCTGGCATTTACTAGTCGGGTAATGAGCACTGGGCGTTTCTCCTCACTGCAGATGAACAAAGTTGGTCGTTGAAATCCATTTTATTGCATCTTAATTTACTGACCCCCTAGTTTATGAGGGGGTCTCTGTTAATGCCTTTAAAAAATTGTCAACATCAGGCCCATCTTCATTTGTCATATTCCAATCAAGTGGAACATTTATTTTAAGGTTTTAGTTTTCTCATATAGAGCGCTGCATGGCCAGGGACCTGCTCCATCCCTATATCACCAGCAGGTCACTTAGGTCTTCTGACCAGGGCTACATAATCTAGATGCTTCCGCAAGGAAACACTAACAGCCCATCACAAACCTACCGTTTATTCATTAAAGAATTGACCGATAATTATCATAGCTATGCTGTTGATATCCCTATTTACTAATGACTTTGGTTCCCTAGAATCCCTCTATTGACGAATAGAACAAATTAACAGCTGGATGTCTCAACAATGTCTTTGGCTGAATAAGGACAAAACTGAAATAATTGTATTTGGTAAAAAAATAGACACAAAAGGACCTGTTAAAAGCCTTGCTGCCCAGCTCTGGAACCACATTCCTGATTGTATCAAAGGTAGCTATCAACATTCAAATCTAGACTTAAAACGTGATTGTTCTCAGACGCTAACTGATAGAATGCACCCTGCTTACAATCTGTGTTCTTTTAGCTCATCTACAGCACCCTTCCTTGTTTAGTGAATTTTTGTATGAATATTTGACCTGCTCACCTGTGAAGTACGGTGTATGAATTGTGCTATATGAATAGAGCTCCTACAGGAGCCTCCTCTCTCCTCAGGGGGCCTCCTTGCACCTCGTCTCCTCTGAGATGGCAGACCTCAGTGGGTTACCGGTTCAGGGAGCGAGGATGAGAGGAGCAGCATTCGCTTAACTTGCTAGAAGTAAAGTGAGTCTACTACAGTTTTTCCACTCTGTGTTTTTACTGATCACAGGTTCAAGTCCTTCCCTGAAGTCCTTTATCAGATAGTTTCCTTGGAGACGGTGTTGCTTGGTAACAACCAAGTGGACGAGGTGGACCCTCATCGTCTGATGAAGTTGGTTCATCTGTCGACACTGGATTTGTCAAACAATGACCTGCTGAACATCCCCCCTGAAATGGGCCTGTGTGCCAGCCTCAGGTATGGAGCACAGTCTACACACTGCTGTCCATTGTCCCAACATGTTGGGCGCACCACCACCAGTCAGCTCCTCTGCCTCTGGTGCTCAGTATTTTCCCTGATGCTCTGTAGGAGTCATACTATGATCATGACATTTATCCACATTTCCTCTTGGTTGCTTCTTAATGAAGATATTCAGCTCTGTTTTAGTCCCTACCCAAAGCACAGTGTCTTAATGTCTAGTACTTCATTGTGGTGAGGTATAATTGTTTTCAAAATGATCTGCGTTTACTTTGAGTTGAGAAAAATGGATTGTAAGACCTGTATTGTTTCTCAGGTGTCTCAGTCTGGAGGGGAATCCTTTCCGCACACCCAGAGCAGCCATCGTGGCCAAAGGAACAGATGCAGTGTTGGAGTACCTCCGCAGCCGCATACCTACATTACCTCAGCCCAAATAGCTCCACCACCATGCTCACAGATCTGTTTTCATCAATGTTGACATTTAAATGCATTAAAACAAACCGCCTAATTGTGCTTTATCTTGATGTTACACAAGTTTGCAATTCAAAATCCACAGCATCACAGTCAGCTTTGAGAAGCGAATCAGTTGCCAAAGTTTCCCTCTGAAGTTGATCTGGTTTGTATTAGATGGATGTGTTGAATGTCATGAATATTTCTGGACAATCTGATTCAAACTGATGCCTACATGTTTGACTGAAAAAAACACTTCTCTTAATAAAGTTAACTATTAGATGGAGTGGTTGTATAATAGTGTAGTAGCAGCAGTTAGAATAGAAGGTATAATACCAAAATTTACGATGGGACAAAACTTTATTTATCCGGAGAGAATTAGTTATAAGCAGTTGCCGTGCAAATTATGCATGTATATATACATATATGTATATATACATATATACATATATACATATATACATATATACACATATATATATATATATATACATATATATATATATATATATACATATATATACATATATATACATATATACATATATATATATATATATAT